TGCCGATTTGTTCAATGAAATAAAAAATTTTCTTTTACTTGGAACGAAGTTTAATCTGTAATGTATTTTCCATTTTGTTCGACGACCTTTTGCCGTCTCTCTGACAACTTGAAAATTCCACGCTCGTAGAAAGTCTGATCCTTTTCGGCCAAAAACTGAGTTAAGTGAGATTTTACAGTGTCATCATCGTTAAAAGTTTTACCACGAAGGGAGTTGTCCAGGAATCGAAATAAGTGGTAATTCGATGGCGCGAGATCAGGGCTATATGGTGGGTGTAACATCAATTCCCAACCAATATCCATCAATTTTTGCCGAGTGGACAAAGACGTGTGCGGCCTAGCATTGTCCTGCTGGAAAATGACACCTTTACGATCGACCAATTCTGGTCGCTTTTCCTCGACCGCTGCATTCAATTTGTCCAGTTGCTAACATTCACGGATAATAAAAAATAACATAATAATAATAATAATAATAATTTTATAACATAACATTCACGGATATCATAAAAATGGGAGTGAGAGACACCTATAACTGAAATCGGCAATTACTTAGTTGCCAACCCAATAGATATAATCAATAAAATGATCACAAATAATACGTCTATTGATAAAAAGGAACGTTAGTTTTCTCGAAATATAAATTAAATTAAATTATAAATATAGATTCCAGCAAATAAAGATGGACATGGAGCTTGAAACTAAGCCCGACATGGCACATGTTTTTACAGAAATTATAATAATATAAACTGAAATATAAACTATTACACAACAACAAACGGTGCCACCTATCTGTTGTTCTAATTTACCACAACATATGCACAGATTATTACAGTATGGAAAGGATTCATAGTTACCGTCGCAACTGTAGGTGCCGTAGTGTTTTCCAGAGCTACGATCACCGCATACGGTACACAGTATATCGAGCAATCTGTCGCCTATAACAAATATTCACTTCATACTTAATTAGACAAAAAGATGCAGCGAGGTACGGATTACATTATTTCGCAAAAATCGACGTTCTAAAAACAGTGCCGTGTCGTGACCAGAACTTGAGCTACTGAAAGAGTAATAAATTAGTCGGTTGAACAAACGATACGCAAAACGTTTCGTCGTTAGATTATTCATACTGCTATGAATAATGCTATGAATAATAATAAAACAAAAGAGCATTGGAGATGGAGGAGATGTTGCAGCGAACACTTTCAGTAGAAATGGCCTGCACCGATAAGACACGCTAAACGCATCGCGTATTTCTACTTCGGAACGTTGTCAGATCATACTGTTGCATAATTGAATTAATTGAATTAATATAATTCAATTGGTTATTGGTTATTTTCGCAATTCACAAGAAGAAGGCGTTCGAACGTTGATTACAATTCTCATGACATTTTGTCTTCCGAAGTTCTCAGACGTTGCTATAATAACAATAGTTATCTCGTTATACACAAAAATTGATAACATTTTTCTCTCCGATCCAATTTATTATATTAGTTTCGTTTTGCTAATCGGTCAATCCAGAGATTTATCGACAGCGGCCAGTATAAATTCAAACCGTGTAGGCAAATAATTATATTTCAACAGGCAACGTTTGCTTTTTTTAGAGGGTACAGAATGAAAAAGTTTGAATGAAAAGAAGAATGAAAACTGATTTGTTTTCTTTCGATTGGAGAAAAAACGATAGCCTTTACCAATTTATCACGTTTGTTTCACGAAAGCAAACAGTTCCATCTAAGACAAGCTACCTAATTATCCTTTTTAACTTCAATGCTACATGTGTTTCTAGAACTGAAAATCTCATCCAAAATAAGCTTCACTTTTATTTAAAACTTTTAGAAGCTAAAGTAATTTGAAGGTCATATTTCTATAATGAATAAATAGAGTAGAAAATATATAGATAGTGCACCACCCTATACATTAAGTACCTGCAAAATGTTCTATCGTTTCCTGTGTAAAATAAATATTTTTATAAAACTGTTAAAACTTTTAGAAGCTAAAGTAATTTGAAGGTCATATTTCTATAATGAATAAATAGAGTAGAAAATATATAGATAGTGCACCACCCTATACATTAAGTACCTGCAAAATGTTCTATCGTTTCCTGTGTAAAATAAATATTTTTATAAAACTGTTAAAACTTTTAGAAGCTAAAGTAATTTGAAGGTCATATTTCTATAATGAATAAATAGAGTAGAAAATATATAGATAGTGCACCACCCTATACATCAAGTACCTGCAAAATATTCTATCGTTTCCTATGTAAAATAAATATTTTTATAAAACTGTTTATGCTAATATATTTGTTTTATAAAAATATTTAGATTGTGAATTATCCCTTCATATTTATTTTTATTTTCCCAACGAAAATTCCAATGGCTATTAAAACTTGGCAAAAGCTTTACCAGTTATTTAGTGCAACAAATTATTTCATTTTTAACCCACGGCCAAGTGGGTTTTGTCAACAATCACGCTACGGGTCCAACAGTTTTTGCACGGGGTGGCAGGGGCTGATCAAGAATCTTAAAAAACGTGAAAAGCTGGCGGAAAGAGGTGCCCGTTTAAGAAAGCGACGCGGACCGCAAGAAGAACTCGAGCGTTAATCTGTTCTCCCCTTTTCGGAGGAACCCTAATCGCCCTAATGATCCGCGGCAAGAAAAACACGGCCATGCCTAAGCCAACCAAAGCTTCCGCTTCTGGCCTGGGGAACCAACCACCTTCTTCTCACACCCAAAAACCTACCAACCTAACCCGATCAGACGAGTTACTTCAACCCCAACAGATTACCTCCTTTGACGTTCCTGCTTATACAGGGTGTCCCATGAATGTCTCGCGATCCGAAAACGAGGGGTTCCTGAGCTCATTTCAAGTAACTTTTTCCTTAGCGAAAATGCAATCCGCGGCTTTGTTCGCGAGTTATTCGCGGAAAACACTGACCAATGAGAGGCGAGCTCGGCCGGCGCGAGGCGGGCCAGTCGATGGGCGGAACTGGACTTCGTGCGCTCGTTGGCTGGCTCCGCCTCGCGCCAGCTGACCTCATCTCATCTCTTGACCTCATTGGTCAGTGTTTTTCGTTAATAACTCGTTAACGATGCCTCGGAGAAAGTTTTTGTAAAGGAAAAAGTTATTTCAAATGATCTAAGGAAGCCTCTTCCGCCTTTTAGTATTGCGAGACATTTTTGGGACACTCTGTACTTCCAGTCTTATGTTCGGAACGTCAATTAACCCTCGATTCGACCGACGCGCACTGATCTAAAACACAATACCGAACAAAATGGAACACCTACTCAATTTTTGCTATAAATGCATAAAATCCGCAGTCTAATTATGGGGTGTAATATAGACGGAATTAGTCGTTTCTTGGAAACGATTAATCGACCTCGTTGCAGATTTCAAGTCTTCGAAATGTGCATTGAAACGATTAGGGGTACTTCACCCCTAATCAAGGGTATTTGACAACAAGAATATTATTCGCCCACTCGGATATACCACAAATTAAGTTTATAACAAATTTGATAATAATCCTTCGACTCTAAAGATAATTACGTATGCTAATTTCTTGGAAGCGAGAAAGAAACGTATTCATTCGTTTTTGTTTGTATCGTAAATTAAATAGTGTCAATTTAACGTAGCTTATCATTATCTCGCCTTTCAATTTAATTTCGAGGTTTCGAATTAAAACATGCTAATATTTCATTTCGCTCGACGACCTATAGTATATACGCAACGGTAAAAAAAATATAAAATAATTCATATTGCTTTAAAATCAATGTCAAGTTGTCAGATTGCTATTAAATGAAATGATTTATTATAAAACGTTGAAAATAGCCAGGTTTGGTATCTGGAACCTGTCACGTCTCTAACACGTATTTCTAAGGAAACGCGATAAATACGATTTCTCTGTACTTTTCAAAACATAATTTACCGTTAAGATAGTGTTTTTTATGTATTTACGATATTAGAGTACTTGCAATATTAAATAAAACCTGTTAGATGTTAGATTATTGAACTGGACGAAATATTGTATCTGCATAGCTGTATTTCTGTACTCTAACTTACACATGTTCCAAACAAAATGTCGAGCCAAAATCTTTGTTTTTATTACAATTTTTTCATTCTTATAGTAACTACAATAAAAAGTCGACATGCGCGGATTTTTCAAATACAAGAGAACGCATAAACCAACCCCTTTCAAATAAATCCGTAGAAATTATTCTTTTCGCAATAAGTGATCTTCTGATTAAGCAAATCTCTTGATCTCTCTTGATCTCTCTTGATCTCTCTTGATCAGGCAAACATTCTTACAATCCCAATCTCTTTTAACCCCTTAATGCACAATTTAAAAAAAAAAAGACCAAAAAAAATCAATTTTTTTTATCTAAGAAAATACATATTTGGACCTTAATTTCAATAAATATTTTTAAAAAATGCAAAAATTACTAAAAATTCAATAAAAATAGTGGATAAATAATTATAGTGAATATTGAATCGCATTGCAGATCGAATTTTGTACCCATCGTACTGTTTTTCATATATTCGAATCTGAACATTTTAGCGACATAAGTTGCGACGCCGACCGTATATATACGGGTCTGCACATTTTGGCCGGTTTTGCACGCCCGTGTTAATACGTTTCTGCGCGTTAAGGGGTTAAAT